AAAGGAAGGAACGAAGAAGGGAAGGAAGGAAGGAAGGAAGGAAGGAAGGAAGGAAAAATATGATGGATGGATGGATGGATGAATGGATTGAAGGAAGGAAGGAAGGAGGTGATGGATAGAAGGATGGATGGAAGGAACAAATGAACAAACTTATGACGGATAGAAAGAAGGACGGTTCATATAACGTTCCACATATTATGGCTTAAATATTTTGTGGAGAAAATAAAACGTCCCAGGACCCATCACTGCCCTATCTTCTTTTCTGAGAACCTGCGTCTTTCCCCTGCGCCGGTGTCTTCCTGATCTCTTGGACTACGACACCCATAGTTCCCAGTCAACCGCCATGTAGCTAGGGCTTGTAGTCCAGGACACACAACAAAGGTTGTTCTGATCCTTTCTGGGCAGGGTGTTCAGCCTGCCAAAAAGGCACGGTGAGGGTCGGTTAAAATGGGTCGAGAGGCTGAACAAAGGGGGGTGGGCAGCTAGCAGTCCCTGGGGGTGCGACCTGGCCCGTAGCTTCCCACTGCTGCTAAAACCTGCGGGCAAACGATGGGGAAAGTCCATTGAAAGCCAGCACACTGTGCAGTAAGGATGCGCCATTGCCCATGACACTCGCCAGCAATTATAGGAGTATTTTAAAAATATTTCCCCTCCCCACTCATGTTTGATGGCATCTCTGGTTTCCCTGCCCTGAAATAACACCTGGAGACTCAACACGATTACCCCCCCCCAAAAAAAAGGTATGTTTCTCCCAGCCGTTATGTGAAACTGCAGATTTAGGGAAGGGGGAAAAAATTTCAAGGCAATGAATCCTCATCTTAGAACAGCAGAGCTAGAAGGGATCCTGTAGATCATCAAGTCCAGCCACTGTCAAGGAGGCCCAGTGGGGGGAATCGAACTCCCAACCTCTGAATCCAAAGACAGAGAGACCTAACTCCCTGAGCTATCCAGCCATTCTTTAATCCCTGGCCCTTAACCGGAGCATGGTTAGCTGCGAGTCGGCCCTGGTCTGCCATGTGCTTCCCCGCAGGGTTGGTGTATGGACAGGAAATAGATTGGGCTCATGGCTGGGTAGATGGACCCTGACGCCGAGCTGCCTGTTTTTTCTCTCGCAGATCAAGAACGCCGCCGCCAACGTCTTGCGGGAGACGTGGCTCATCTACAAACACACCAAGCTGCTAAAAAAGATCGACCATGCCAAAGTCCGGAAGCACCAGAGGAAATTCCTCCAAGCCATTCATCAGTAAGTTGAGTTTTCCTTCCCACGTCTTTCTGCTTTTCTGCTTCCGCGCGGCCCTCTCGGATCGCGGGTCGCAGAGCTGCGAAAAAGATGGAGGCTTAGAGGCGGTGGAGCCCTCACCGCTTGGAACAGGCGGCTCCGAGTCCACGAGGTGCCCTTCAAAGAGACAATAATGTTTCCAAAATCTGCTCTAACTTTTCGAGGTCTACAGGCTGGGAGAGATCCCTGCCTTCTCCTTGACCGGACCGGCCATATCTGTGCTGCCGAAAGCCGGCCGGTGGAGGGTCTAACTCTGTCCGCCTCTGGGATCAGCCACCAGCCTCCAGGCTGTTCTAGGCTTTAGAGACGACAGCCCCCACCGTGGAGGACCATTAGCCTGGCTGGCTGGCAGGGCCTTATGGGAACTGTAGTCCCCAAATGATCTAGAGTGCGCCAGCGTGCCTGTGTCGGATCTAAGATGTGGCCCCTTTTTTTTAAGGTCTTGGGGCCACGTCTTAGATGTCTACAGACTCCCATCTATAGACCTCCAGCACATCTAGGACATAAAAAAACAATATTATCCATTTTTGATCCTGGATTGCAGCTCCTTCTCTTGATCAGGCATGGAGAGGTGGGCTGAAGGTCCAAGTTGATATAGAGCAGCTTCCGTGGCTTCTGTTTCAATCCGGCCTGATTTGGTACCATGAGGACTAGGAGCTTATCTCGTTTTTTTTAAAAGAAGGCCACGGATCCGTGCTTAAAGCAATTGTGTTCCAGAGACAGGTGGTTCCCCCGGTTTGATCTCTAGGTGGGGGGCTGACAGGGTCCCTGGCATAACGCTTGGGAGTTACCGGTGGTTTGATTTTGGCAGTACGGGAATGCCCTGCTTAGTGTTCAGGATGCGTTCCAAGAAACTGGAGTGCTAACTCATTTACCCAATCAGACGTCTGATGCCATCGTAGACAGGTGCTGTTTGAGATTCTCAAGCTACTAGCCCTCTTGGATATTTCTCTGCAGCCCAGAAGGGATGGTTCAGAGGGCTTTCTTCCCTCTCCATAAGGGGGCCGATGTTTGTCAGCTGCCCTGGAGCCCAGGGCAAGCCCAGAAGGTGTCTTTCTGATCAAGGCTCCAAGGGGTGCCTTATGTGACTCTAGGTTTGACTTGCTTCACGAGCCTTGCCAGAGTCCTAGTCCTCATGGGGGGTCCAAGGGGTGCCTTATGTGAGTCTAGGTGTGACCTGGCTCACAAGCCTTGCCAGGGTCCTAGTCCTCATGGGGAGCCAGCAGGGTATTATACAGCGGGAAGAGAAGCGACGGGCGGGGGGGGGGCGGGGGGGGGATACGGGCCCTGTCTTGTCATGCCAAAGGCCTCCCTGAGTAGCTGTTACCCCTTTTCTAGGTTAAGGGGTGTGAAGATGGAGCAAAGAAAACTCAGTGACCAAGCGAACACTCTGGTCGATCTTTCCAAGGTAACCCTCCGTCTCTTTCTCTCCTGCCCCCCCTTCCTTCCCTCCGAGGGCTTGAACTGGGAGATGAGGAGGAGGAGGAGGAGGAGGATGGGGTCAGGCAGGGGTAGCCGCAGGGACGATTTTGCCCCATGAGGATCAACGGAAGCCTATCGCTGCTGAGGTCAAACAGAAGGTCCTGACGTTCCTCCTGCCAGCCTCTTTTTGATTTTCCTTGCATGAGTTATTTGGGGGTGATGGGGGGGGCACCCCTGGAAACCATGACTGCCCCTCTGCTAATCCATCTTCCTTGAACCCAAATGCAGTTTGTCCACTTCCAATGAACTGCCGGATCCGCTGAAGGGTTTTAGAGATCTGCTTGCGGAACCTGAGTTCAAATCCCCCCCCGGACCAGAGCTGGATTCGATGATCCATCGGGGGGGGGGGGAGAGACTTTTTTAGCAAAAACTACAGCCAGCATCCTATTGATGTATGCAGTTGCGTGTATGCGTGCAGTTCGTGGCTGGCCCATTCCTTCTGCGTCTTGTCTTCCATGGTTTCGGCGACCGGCGGCAGGAGGGAACAGACCGGACTTTCCCGAAGGCCCAGCTTTACTGTGAATGCCACGTGCACGCTTGCGTTTGTGGTTTTGCAATAGGATTTTAGCCCATGCGGTTGATCTTTGTTGAGTAGACCTTGGGTCTAGATGGGCAGGATCGAAATCCAATCAATCAATCAATCAATCAATCAATCAATCAATGTAAATCTTCATTTTCATTTTTCCATCATCATCATCATCATCATCATCATCATCATCATCATCATCATCTATTTATTTATTTATTTATTTATTTATTTATTTATTTATTTATTTATTTATTTATTTATTTTGA